AATTTATTAAATTTACATTTATGTGTAAATATTGACAATGTTAGACATTCAGAGGGTTGAATTTTCCTATTTGAATGCATATATATATTGAAAATATAAACAAGTTCCTACTGGTAATTCTCCAAAGTCAACAATTATTTTTTGGTTCATTTTAAGTACATTTTATTTTTTTTTTGGCATTTTTTTTAAATTTATTTTTTTAAATTGATTATGCTGTTACAGTTGTTCTATTCCCCCCTTCATTACCCTCCGCCCTGCCCCCCCAACCCCACCATTACCCCCCTTTAGTTTATGTCCATGTGTCTCAAGTCCTTTAGATTCTATATTTCCCATACTATTCTTGCCCCCCCCATCTATTTTCTATCTACTGTCTATGCTACTTATTTTCTGTACCTTCTCCCCCCTTCTCCTCCTCCCACTCCCCTGCTGCTAACCCTCCTTGAGATCTTCATTTCTATGTTTCCACTCCTGATCTAGCTGTCCTTTTAGTTTGCTTTCGTTTTAGGTGTGGTTGTTAATAACTGTGAGCTTGTTGTTCTTTCACTGTTCATGTTTCTTTAACTTCTTTTTCTTAGATAAGTCCCTTTAACATTTCATATAATAAAGGCTTGGTGATGATGAACTCCTTGAATTTGATCTTATCTGAGAAGCACCTTATCTGTCCTTCCATTTTAAATGAAAGTTTTGCTGGATAGAGCAATCTTGGTTGTAGGTCTTTAGATTTCATGACTTGGAATATTTCTTTCCAGCCCCTTCTTGCCTGTAAGGTCTCTTTTGAGAAATCTGCTGACAGTCTGATGGGGACTCCTTTGTAGGTGATTGTCCCCTTAGCTCTTGCTGCTTGTAGGATTCTCTCCTTCATTTTAATCTTGGCTAATGTAATTATGATGTGCCTTGGTGTGTTTCTTCTTGAGTCCAACTTTTTTGGTACTCTCTGAGCTTCTTGGATTTCTTGGAAGTCTATTTCCTTTGCCAGATTGGGGAAATTTTCTTTTATTATTTGTTCAAATAAGTTTTCCACTGGTAGCTGTGCCTTTCCCCCTTCTGGTACCCCTATAATTCGGATATTGGAGTGTTTAAAGATGTCCTGGAGGTTCCTAAGACTCTCCTCATTTCTTTGAATTCTTGCTCCTTGACTCTTTTCTGTTTGGCCATTATTTGCTTTTTTCTGGTCCACTCCATTGATTTGAGTCCCAGTTTCCTTTTCATCGCTATGGGTTTCCTGTGGAATTCCATTCATTTCCATTAGTTTCGCCTTCATATATTTGTCTAATTTGTTGGTATAATCAACCAGTTCTGTGAGGATCCTGATGACCAGTGTTTTAAACTGTGCGTCTGAGAGTTTTGCTATTTCTTCGTCGCTTAGATTTATCTCTGGGGCTTTGAGGTCTTCCTGCGACATTTTTGGTCTGTTCTGGCCCTTTAAGCGGGAGAAGCGGCGCCTTGGACTCCCAGGTCGCTGGGTTGTGACGCTGTATGTGGAGGCGTGGTCAGAGCGGGGAAATGGTGGCGCCCTCAGCCACCGGGCCAGTCCAACCGCCCACTCCCTCGCCTGTCCGCTAGCGCGCAGATAGGCGACCGCAGTCAACACGCAGCACCGCCTCCCCACTGTCTCCTCTGCAGTCGCTCACTAGGTCCAATCCTGCGTTTGGAACCCGTGCGTCTGGATTCGTGTGTCTGCATTCCGCGTCTGGGTCCGTCCGACCGGAGTCCTCCTGTGCAACCCCTCACCAGTCGCCGGTTTCGCCCCTTACAGGTCGGGCTGAAGAATTTGTTGTTAACGGACTTCCGAAAAGTTCAATTTTCCGTGTTCTGGTTGTGTTTTCTGATGCTAATATTTAGTTGTCCCTAAACTTGGTTGTGTGAGAAGGCACGGCACATCCACCTATACCTCCATCTTGGCGGAAGTCTTAAGTATATTTTATTGATTATGCTATTACAGTTGTCCCATTTTTCCTCCCCTTTATTCCCCTTGCAGCCCTTCTCCCACCAGCATCCTCTCCTTAGTTCATATCTGTGGGTTGTACATATAAGTTCCTTGGCTTCTCCCTTTCCTGTACTATTCTTAACATCCCCCTGTCTATTTTGTACCTACCATTTATGCTGCTTATTCTCTGTACCTTTTCCCCCATTCTCCCCATCCCACTCCCCCTTGATAATCCTCCATGTGATCTCCATTTCTGTGGTTCCTTCGTTCGCTGTTATAGTTGTTGGCTTAGTTTTTGTTTTAGGTTCAGTTGTTGATAGTTGTGAGTTTATTGTTATTTTACTGTTCATAGTTTTGATCATCTTCTTTTTCTTAGATAAGTCCCTTTAACATTTCGTATAATAAAGGCTTGGTGATGATGGACTTCTTTAACTTGACCTTATCTGGAAGCTTTTCCATTCTCAGTGATAGCTTCACTGGATAGAGTAATCTTGGATGTAGGTCCTTATCTTTCATGACTTCAAATACGTCTTTCCAACCTCTTCTTGCCTGTAAGGTTTCTTTTGAGAAATCAGCTGATAGCCTTATGGAAGCTTGGTTGTAGGTAACTGTCTCCTTTTCTCTTGCTGCTTTTAAGGTTCTCTCCTTATCTTTAATCTTGGGTAATGATGTGCCTTGGTGTATGCTTCCTTGGGTCCACCTTCTTTGGTAATCTCTGAGCTTCCTGGACTTCCTGGAAGTCTATTTCCTTTGCCAGATTGGGGAAGTTCTTCATTATTTTTTTTCAAATGACTTTTCCATTTCTTGCTCTCCCTCTTCTCTTTCTGGCACCCATATGATTCGGATGTTGGAACATTTGAACTTATCCCAGAGGTTCCTAAGCCTCTCCTCATGTTTTTGAATTCTTGTTTCTTCATTCTGTTCTGGTTGAATGTTTATTTCTTCCTTCTGTTCCAAATCAATGATTTGAGTCCCAGTTTCCTTCCCTTAGCTATTGGTTCCCTGTACATTTTTCTTTGTTTCACTTTTCATAGCCTTCACTTTTTCCTCATTTTGCAACCATATACAACCAATCCTGTGAGCATCCTGCTAACCAGTGTTTTGAACTCTGCATCTGATAGGTTGTCTCTGTCCTTGTCACTTTTTTCTCTTTTGGGAGTGTTGCTGTGTTCTTTCATTTGGGCCATATGTCTTTGTCTCAGTGCATCTGTTACATTTTAAGGGGCGGAGCCTTAGGTATTTGCCAGGGTGGGGCAACCCATGTTGCTGAGTTGTGGCTCTGTATATGGGGGAGGGGTCATAGAGGGAACAATGCTGCTTGCTTAGCTCTCCACCCCAGCTGCCTGTCTCTGTCCCTCCTACCAATCTGGATGAATGGTTCTTCTTTAACTCCTTGGTTGTTGGACTTCCATAGAGTTTGATTCTGGCAGTTCTGGTTGTTTTTTTGTTTTTAAATTTGCTGCTGTCCTTCTTTTGGTTATGCCAGGAGACAAAATGTATCTACCTATACCTCCATCTTGGCCAGGAGCCCCATGTCCCTTGCTAAGTGCTCTGGACATGATGTATTTCCCATATCATGATATTGGTAGTCACACTCCTGTCATCCTGTCATTGCCTCATTGGGTTCTGTATTTCTTACTAGGCTCTGAGCTCCCAGTGAGCAGTGCACATGCTGCTTTGCACCATTGTCTTCCTTGAACACCATGTGGCCCAAGGTAGATCTATAGATCGTTAATAAGTGATGGAAAAGGATGGATGAGAAATAGAGCGTAGTGGCCCCAGGCCATACCTGTTCATCTTGTAATACTGGCCTTGGAAAAATTACCTAAACTTTCTGTGCTTCACTTCCTCTTCTGCACATTGGGGTAATAGTAGTATCTATGTCAAGGGTTGTTATTGAAAGTATTTGTGTGTGTAAAGCACTTGGTGCCTGTGACATAATCTTGCACTTTAGCTGCTGCTGTTACTATGGTGGTTTTTAGTCCCACTGTTAGGGCTGCTGTTTGGGCAACTGCAGCTACAGGAAGGCAGAAGAGTTTGGGAATTAGAGCATTAACCCAGGAATCAGACTGCTAGGGTTGCAGTTCCAGTTCCACCATTTACTTGCTATATGGCCCTAAGCAAGTTTCTTACCCTCTCTCTGTCTGTTTCCTCTCTTGAAAATTGTGGATACTAGTTGCACCTAACTCAAAGGATCATTATGGAGACTAAATGAGAAAATAAATGTAAAGCCTTTAGAATAGTGGTCAGTTCCTAGTTATGTCAGTAAGTGTTTACTATTAATGATGTCAGACTTGGATTTTAGCTATTAATTTTACTATCCTTTCTTATGTTCACCCAGTTGGGATACATCGTTTATGAGTGCATTCTGTGTGCCAAACCTGCAAAGTTGCAACTATGACTTACTCTACTTTGACTCAAAACAATGTAGTTTGATTATAAAAATCTTGAAAAACCTTCTTGAAGCCCTCTATTGCTGGTGTCATTCCTGATAGACTAAATGCCTGAGTAAACCTTAGCATACAGTCTAGGCTTTTCAGACATTCTTTGGTGGCCCCAGCCTCCTCACGAACCTCCGTTCAAGAAATAGGAGATGATGATTCTTTAAATGCCTATCCCTCCTGATGTCACTTGTTCCCTGTTTCCCAGCATAAACAGATGAAAAGTGCCAGCCCAGCCATTGCTCAGCCCAGAGAGATGTTATAACAAGGTTTTAGAGGAGAAAGGAGTAGAGAATGGGTTATTTAAATATCTCTGCTACTGTTATCATCATAAAGGCCTTGAGTCTGTTCCTGTGGGTCAGACTTTATGATTGAATTAGTTTTAAATTAAGTTCACTTAATATTTTCTACCCACAATGTTTAAAGGGAGCGACGGAATCACTTTAATCAAATAATAATTATTCTTTTTACTTTTGCTAATTACCTCTCCTTTCCCATGTGAGTGGAGGTATAATACCACCCAGGAGGCCTACAGATAAAATTGCCGTTTTGTTTATTCATCATCAATAAATTTGACAAGTAACATTTTAAGCCTTAAAATTTGTACATTTAGTTTTTTTCTCTCTTGACAGGGCAGACAGTTTACAGAAGAATCAAGACCTGGAATTTGAAAGAAATAGAGAACGATTTGAATTTTTGAAGGTATAACCAAGTTTGGTTCGAATGGTCGATTCTTTATGTCTGTGGGTGTGAGGGTAAGGTGCAGAGGAGGGTGCCAGGCATTCATAGTACTCTTTCCACTTTTCAATCCTAGTGGGGTTCCCAGGCTTTTCACAACATGAGGATTATTCCCCCTGGCTCAGGAATCATCCACCAGGTGAATCTGGAGTATTTGGCAAGAGTGGTATTTGATAAGGATGGATATTATTACCCAGAGAGCCTCGTGGGCACAGACTCACACACTACCATGATTGATGGTTTGGGTGTTCTCGGATGGGGTGAGTATTCTTCTGTATCTGCTGTACTATAGCATGTACTTTAATATATGTTGGTACCAGTACATCCCAGCAGCATAAAATGGCATGACCACAAGTATCAAGAGATATTTCTGTCTGTTTTGTTCATTGCTGTATTTCCAATGTCCAGAAAAAGGCCTCATGCCTTTGTTTTTAAGAATGAACTGAACTAAGGGTCGGGGACATTAAGAATGAGTGGAAATCACCTGCAGTGTTGGTTAAAAATGGAGATTCCTGAATCCCACTCCACTTGGTGTGGGATTAAGGGGATTTTGACACAGGAGTCTGGGGACCACACTTGGGAGAAACACTTACTAAAAATTCTGTGGAGAGAAATAGAAAAAAGATAATTGCTCTTTTTAAAAAGTAACTCTGTACTAGTACAACATTGTAACTGGGTTTATTACCTGTTAATGACATCGAATTATTCTTGAAGGATGTAGTAAGAAGTAATGAAAGCATTATTTTATATGCCACTCTATGCAGGTGTGGGTGGGATCGAAGCAGAAGCTGTCATGCTGGGCCAGCCAATCAGCTTGGTGCTTCCCCAGGTGATCGGCTACAAGTTGACGGGAAACCCCCACCCCCTGGTGACATCCACTGACATCGTGCTCACCATCACCAAGGTAACACATGCTGCCTCTTCTGTGATCTTGGAATCAAGGTGACAAACAGGGAGGAAATACATGGTGGAGTCTCTCTCAGTCTCTGTGTGTCCTGGAAATGCTAGAAAACCATATGTTGATGACCTTAAAATGATTGGGTAAGGGAGGATTCTGTGGCTAAGTGTTAGGTTAATTATGTTCATTTTACTCTTGTATTGCTGTGTGGACCTTTTTCTCTACAATTTTTTAAAAATTATGAAATAGTTCAAATACACAGAAGTGAAAGTGATTTGATATGCCTACTACATAGATTTATCAGATAACATTTTGCCATATTTGTTTCAGAGCTCTCTCTATTTTTTAAGAAATAAAATGTGTTATTTATGGTTTAAGCCATCTTCCCCATTCCTAGAATGGCCACTGTCCTGAGGTTGTAAGAATAATTCCCATTATGCTGTGACTATATTTCCCCCATGTTTTTTCTTTATATGTAAATAACAAACTTTTTATGTGAATAATATTAGACTTATTAAATTCCCTTTTTCCGTATTGTAAGTTGCATTACTATGACAGATTTTTCTCCAAACTGTCAAAAATTATTTTTTCCCTTTTCTTTAGCCCTTTTAGGAAATAAATTTTGTATGTGACTTGCTTGCTTTGCAAAAAAAAAGGTAGTTTTATTTTTGAGCAATTATTAGAAAAGTAATTTCTATATTATCATAAACACAATTTTTTCTGGTTGTATAGGTTGCAGGCTTGAAATATTTGGGATGGACACTATCCTGATAAAGGCCCCCAAAAGTTCCTCTTTGATGTAGTCTTTATGGAATTTAGAATTTGATTTATTTGAACACACTAGCTTATCACAGGTATCTGTGTATTATTCTTCAAATGTGGAATAATATATAAGGCTTGGACACAAAATTTGGCAAAATTTCATGTAACCAGAAGAGCCCATCTCTGTGACTGCCCACAATTCATGGAACTGGCTTCCTGTAGGGACAAGTCAGTCACCAAGGTGCCTGCTCTGGCCAATGGCTGGCTTAAAGAAGATACGGGAATCAGACTGGATATTTTTGTTATATTTGACTAGTACCTGTGTTTAAGAAATTTTTTCCTTATACCCTTGAAAACAACCACTCAGCTAATACAAGTCATAATTTATTTGAGTTAAAAAATTTTTATTTTTACTATTTCTAGTCATTTCCAATTACCTCATTAGAGAGAAAGAGTATTTCCCATTTTTAAAATGTTTTCTTAATATTGTTATTTGTATTCCTGGCATTACTTTTTTTGGAAAAACTATTCTGACATAATTTTAGATTTACAGGAGAATTCATGTAAAAATAATATAGAAAGTTTCTGCTACCTTTCTCCCAGCTTCTCAAAACATTACCTTTCCTCACCATAGCACATCTATCAAAATAAAGATGCTGGCATTGTTATGAATAACACTCACTATTAACTAAACTAGAAACTTCTCCAGTTTTTCTAGTAATATCCCTTTTTTGTTTCAGTATCCAGTGCAGAATACCATGTTATATTTAGTTGGCATTACTTTTTAAGCTTTATTTTTTAAAGTAATCAAAAATACATTGTGTTAACTGATTGTTCCTGTTCACTCACAAAGTTAGTTTATAAGAATTGCAAGATGAGAGTTCTGCATTTTAGACATGGTCTATCAACTTTGTAATCTTTCTGTTCTGCTGCTCAGCACCTCCGCCAGGTTGGGGTAGTTGGTCAATTTGTTGAGTTCTTCGGGCCAGGAGTTGCCCAGTTGTCCATTGCTGACCGAGCTACGATTGCCAACATGTGTCCAGAGTATGGAGCAACTGCTGCCTTTTTCCCAGTTGACGAAGTTAGTATCAAGTACCTGCTGCAGACAGGTAAGCGTAAAATCAGGAAAAGCAGAGGGCCATTCGTAAAATTTTGTAAAACACTGAGAATTGGAGCACTGCCTTCTGTCTCTGGCCCTTAGAGTACACTGGGTCAGATTTACAGATTATTTCCGTTTCTCTGTGGACTCGGACTAATTGTCGGGATTTCAGAAGATGTGAGGTAGGCAGGGTATGGCCGACAGAAAGCTCAGATACTCAGGAAGCCTGATATATATACTCATCTTCTATTAGCACTTATTTGACATGAAACAAGTAATCTTAGTAATGGTTATGACTGTCCTCTGAGCGCCAGGCACTTGGCATGCATTGTTCTTACCCTCTTGACAGATCGATAGGGTAGCCTGATTGATTAATTAACTAATAGGAGAGAAAACTAAAGATAAGAGAGGTGGTAGTAAATATCCAAAGCTAATAAAAGTGGAGCTAGAATCCAAACCTGAGGCCACCTGGCTCCAAACAAGAACAGTGCCCCGTGACATCCCAGGAGGTAAAATGAAAGACTGCATCTGAAGCCATTTCAGAATGTCAGTGGTTCTCTAACTCTGTGAACATGTGTTTAGAAATTTGACTTTAACTTTGAGAACAGTTTTCTGTTTAATTTTTCAAATTTATTTTTAAAATATTAAACATTTATTTAGTCATTCTCAATATCTGGTCTAAGTTCCACAGATTCAGTAGTGAACAAGTCAACAAATAAATACACAACTATTTACAGGACATTGCATTTATAAGATAATGGAGAAGAGATCCTGGGGAACGGGTGAATAGCCTAAGGGTGCCATTTTATACTTGGGAACATCAGCAAAGAGCTCTTGGAAGGGAAACTTGAACTCGTGATGGAGTGGGAGCATGAGCCATGTGACGTGGTGAAGGGGGTGTTTTCCAGGTAGAGGAAACCACACATGCAAAGGCCCAAGAGAGAGATGGGACAGCAGAGGGGCCTGTGTCACTACAGCCCAGGATGGTGGCCACGGGAGGTGAGGTCAGAGGGCGGGCAGGCAGGAGCCAGATTCACACGGGCTCGTAGGCCACAGTGGTCAGTTAGTGCTTTATTCTAGGAAGTCGCTGAGTCATATTAAGCAAGACGGTAACATGAAATAATTTTATTTTTAATACCTGGTTCTATGTGACAAAGATGAAGAAGGCCTTTTATATATCCATATGACTCTTAAAATCGCAACTAAATTATTAAGGAGAAAGGAACAGAGACAAACTTCAGCCTTCTCCTCCATATCCAGCGGTCACTACAGTGGCCAGTGTTTCTTCTGAAATAGAAGTAGTGGGCATCTGAAGTGAGAGCTGGTGCGAATCTCTTAATGAGGTCTCAAAAGAATCTGACAGGCTCCAAGGAAATCCAAACCTCCTTGATTTTCCTGAGGAAAATCTTCACAAAGTAGTTAAAATTGGAATGAAAAAGCTTATTTTAAAGAAGTTTTTATTAAATATAATCACATTGGAATTGATTAATTAATATCTCCCTTGATCTGCAATGCATTTTTAATGAAAAAGATAAAGAAATTAAAGAACAAATAACTGAGGTAATCAACCTAGAGAAGAGAAGGAAGGCATGGTAGGGAGGGGGAAACACATCCAGAGCTCAGATTAGTTTCTGTGGCGCTAAAGGTAGCCACCAACTTCGGTGCTGGATCACTAAGATTTGAAGCATCTGTTAAGTTGAAACAAACATCCCCCGTCAGAGAAGCAGAACACTCTTTCTCATTCCTAAGAGACACACACTTCTGTGTGTCATTGTGATGGGACAGCACGGGACACAGTGAACAGTGGGCTCATCAATAGGTCATGATAAACATGGTAATGAAGCTCAGTCAGTCAGCTTTGATGAGGCCTGTGGAGAAAGCTGATGACCTCTACAATTCATTTAAAGAAATAGGCAAACAAAAATTGCTGATGTATTGTGATAAGGATCAAGCCTTCAAACAGCCTTATTCAACTGACAGAGGAATGGGTGGGCTGTATGTCCATTGGTCATACTTCATGAGTATTATCTCCTACAACCACCGTCTCATGATTAAATTCGAAATGTTCAGGGTCATATTCCTGGTGATAACAGAATCATGAGTTAAGACTTTAGACTTTGGAGTTAAACTCAGGTTCGGATCCTGGTCCTGTCATTTACTGGCTATATTCTATGGGAAAGTTACTTAATCTTCCTGAGCCACCATTTCCTCATCTGTGAATGAGAATAACTGTAATTGTCTCTTAAGGTCGTGATAAAGGATTAAAGATTGAGATAAACATTTAACAGACAGTGCCAAGAACACAGGAAGTTCTCATAGGTGGTAATGTGTGGTGGGAGTCAGGGCAGATCATTATTTTAGTAACAATGTGGAATACTGAGAGTCTGGCCAGTTGAAGGGAGAGGCATAGGTGGGCAGAGGTCTAGGATCCTTCTAACTAAGGAGCATAATGAAGAGAAGGGGGAGTGCTTACAGGTGGGATTAGAATGTAACTGTCTCTTCCTTAGGAACAGCAGATCAGTTAGTAGACCCTAATAAAAAGCAGATCAGCTAGAGTCAGACTGTTAGCCCTGTGCTGTGGTATCTGCAGAGTTATTGTATGTAAGTGAGGTATGTATCATCTGTGTAATTGCTGGTGGAGGCCTTAACTTATAGTCTTTAGCCAGGAAATATTAACATCTATTACTTGTGTCCTCTTAAAATGTCCATGTAGGTCGTGATGAAGAAAAGGTAAAGCACATTAAAAAGTATCTTCAGGCTGTAGGAATGTTTCGGGATTTCAATGACTCCTCTCAGGACCCAGATTTTGCCCAGGTATGAGAGCACCTTCACCAAAAATGTGTTTCCTTTTCCTGGAGGTGTGATTCTAGTTGTGTATGGTTTTTCTTGGGGGATGTACTTGTAGAAAATTAGTTATCACCAAGTCATCTCAGGAGAACAGGACATTCACAAGTTAAGAAGTCAAAAAGATAAGGAACCGTAAACATAACAAAACAATACAAGTTCTTCTGTTCCTCCTGGCCTTTAGGTTGGGTTGGGTGTGCTCCCCTTTTTGAACAACTGATTTGCTCCTCTTATGGAGAAGATCTTGGAAGAAGGATGTCACTAGAAGGGCCAGAGTTATTTCAAGGCGAGGCTCATCGTTCAAGATGAGGAGAGATATGGAGGTGCAAACTTGTCAGTTAGTTCTGATTTATCCGGTGGCCTACCCTTCATTCATTTTCCAGGGTGCACATTGATTCCACATTTTTCTCAGCAGCCAAGACTAGAGGGGGCACTAGAAGTGGGGCCCTCATTCTCTTTCACGTGACATTGAAGGAAATGCTCCATTAACTGAGGCCCATTCCCTGGCACTGATGACTTAACAGCTGCATCCCTCCCAAATCATCTTAGAAAAAGTACAACAGTCTATGTATCATTTCAAAGAAAACGCACCCAGACTGACTTAAACTAAAATAAGATTCTATGAGCCACTTTGCAAAGACAGATGCATGGGAGACACTGGGCAGCAGCTGCCGTGCCCACCCTGGTCTTTCTGAGAGGTGGCAAGGCTAGCTGCCGCCCCTCGTTACTTAAGCAATCATCTTCAGCTTTGGAAGTTCATCCTTTAAGTGTTCAAATGAACACTGACTTTCGTGGTTTTGAATGTGGTGGTTTAGTTTGTTTTTATTGTTACAGTATTTTAAATTCTGTGGCATGGCTTAATGTCAGTTCCACATTCCCTTTTCTTTTGAGGGGATAGGTGGTGGAATTAGATTTGAAAACAGTAGTGCCTTGCTGCAGTGGACCCAAAAGGCCACAGGACAAAGTTGCTGTGTCTGACATGAAAAAGGACTTTGAAAGCTGCCTTGGAGCTAAGGTAAGCACCTGGGGTGGAAATCCTCCCTGACCCTGACCTGTCCCATGCTCGTTTATTTATTTTTTTTAGTGCCCAGGTTTCTTTTTGCTTCACTCAGTGATGCCTCTTCCTGAAGCCTGGCAATGGGGGTGTTCCTTCTCTCTCTTGAAGTCTTTAATGTCTCCCCCATTAGCCAGGAGCCAAACAGCTTCCTGAGAGCATTTGACCATCTATAAACATCATTCAACCACCTTTTTAAAACCATACCTACTTTTCACTTGACTCTCACCTTATTGTTCACTCTACTTGCCCAAGCTTTTCTGACCACTGTACGTTTCTTCATTCCATTCCCTGCCTGCATGTGCCTTCTCCATCTGCACCCCCTGATCTGTCAGCTCCTCCACACATGGCCTCAGGTCTTGGAGCAGAAAATCAACTGTCCTTCATCTGAACCTCCCTGGTACTTGGTCTGAAACCCTGATGGCATTCCATATTCTTTAAGTTATACTTTATACATATATATGTGTTACACTTTATATATATATGTATGTATGTATACACATATATACATATATGTATATATGCAATATATTTATACACATGTATACACATGTGTTTATATAAATACATACATTGTATATACCTATATCTATATGTGTATATGTATATATAGTTTATATGCATGTATGTATACATCTATAAATATGTGTGTGTTTATATATATATATATATAAATAAATACGTATATATATTTTTTTCCTTCTTGTAGCAAGGGTTTAAAGGATTCCAAGTTGCTCCAGACCACCATGGTGACCACAAGACGTTTGTCTATAATAACAGCGAATTCACCCTTACTCATGGCTCTGTGGTCATCGCTGCCATCACTAGCTGCACCAACACCAGCAATCCGTCCGTGATGTTAGGAGCAGGTTAGTGCATTTGAAATCCTCATGACCATGTGGACTTGCGGGTGGAAATATGCCTCAGAGGCTTAACCAAGTTCTGCATGTAGTTCACTGAACCTTGTCTTTTCCAGATGCAGATATTTTTTGGCCCAGAAATGTTTACACAATAAACAGTGTACAAAGAAGAGTATTTAAAGTAGAACACATAGTGCATAGTAGTCTTAAGAATTAACCCATAAAATAACTAGAAGAAAGCATAATGAGATGAATTTCTGGTAAAGCCTAGAATCTTATGGCAGACTTCAGAAGAAAAAAAACTCTTTTTCTGTCACAGACTGTTCTTTGTAAAACCCAACAGGCCTTTTTATACAGTGAGATTTAGTCAGTCTTAGATTTACTGTCAAGTGCACCTGAATTAGGGCACAAAGTCTGATGAAACTCACCTGCCTTTTATGCAGTTCGGGTTAAGTAGTGAACATTTACATACAGAGTTGCAGTAACATGATTTTTTAGTTTCCACATTCTTAAACATCTCCTACAGTTCCTCTTGTGAATCTGTGTCCATAGATCATGGAGTTATAACAGTCCTTTATTTATGACGTGGAGAGTGCATAAGGAAAACCCTCTTTGTTCGGGAATTCATCTGTTGCCAGCTTATGCTGTTTTTGTCTGATGCAAACCAACTTTCCTTAAGACAAGTCACCAGCTTGTCTGTAGCTTTTTTTCTCTTCATCTCTTCCTCCTCATTTCTTTTTTACTTCTGTGACACTTCCTAAGACAGAGCACCCAGTGTCCCTACAGTTGTTGGTATTTGCCAAAAGTCCAATGGGCCAGGAGCTCTTAATCTTCCACTTTAAGAAATTTCTGAGATGGAGCCCTGGCCTGTGTGGCTCAGTTGGTTGGAGCCTCATACCCTAGACCGAAGGGGCATGGGTTCGATTCTAAGCCAGGGCACATACCCAGGTTACAGGTGCCCTATTTTGGGTTCCTCACCAGCCAGTACACGACTCAGAGGGTCCTTCCAGTTATAATATTCATTTAAATAAAGCATAATTAGAAAGTTTCCTTTCCCTCCCCAAATTAAAAAAATATTTTATATATTTATAAACAGTTTTAAGTTTATCTCTTTTAGAAACGCAGACACACAAGCACACATCTTTCTTTCATTTTCATGACTCCATTTGAGTTTACTGCATGCATGTGAATGACTTTGGACCAGTGAGCTTTCGATTTCTGTTAGACGACAGAAAGAGCAGGAAGTACCAGCACAAATGGAGCTCTGTCAGGCAGTGGCAGGAAATGCAGACTGAAAAGTCAATGTCTTTCCAGAACTGTTCCTGGTACCTAGAGTAGACACCTACCCAGAGTAGGTGGCCACCCACACCACACTGTGTCTGTGTTTACCATTTCCCAGGACTGTTAGCAAAGAAAGCTGTGGATGCCGGCCTGACCGTGAAGCCTTACATCAAAACTAGCCTGTCTCCCGGGAGTGGTGTGGTCACCTACTACCTGCGAGAAAGCGGAGTCATGCCTTCTCTGTCTCAGCTTGGGTGAGGGAGAGTTTTCTTTTGCTTTTGCTGTATTATCTTCCACACATTTCAAGGTGACATATCTCGCCGTGCCACCTTGTAACAGATATAAGCTTATCTGATAGTATCTAATTGCATACTCTTTTGTCAGATGATATGTAGACTTGAACCCTTCCATTCCAAGAGTAGAGTCCTCCTGTGGACAGTTGTGCTAATTGTCCATCACACAAGGGTGCCTGTGAAGGACAGAGCAGGGGCTGAGATCGGCCTGTGCTTTGGTGTGGTGTTTACACCCTCTCTCTGCACTGGGCCAGCATTGGTTATGCAGCGAGAGTCTGCCCTTTGGTGTGAAAAGGATTATTTACCATAGCTGAAAATGTTCTCATTTCTTAAGGTAAATGAGTTATTTGTTGCCAGATACAGTTTCTTCAACTCCCCCATTACTGTATTCTTAATTCTGATGATAGAGATTTTATTCATGTGCCTCATAAAAGTCAGAAGTCTTTGGATTTTATAATAAAAATAGTGAATAGAGACAGTGGCCTAACCAAGCATAAGGGGATTTATTGATAATGGAAAAATATAATAAAGACTATATATTTAAAAAATTAAAACTCTAGATCACTCTATTAGACTTTTTTTATAGTTTACTTGAAAAGGAATCTAATGGAATGACCTAGAATGAGTGACTAATATATTAAAATGTTCCCAGGAATGACAGCTGAAGAAGCAGCACTGTACTGAACTTATTTCATGTGCTGTCATCTTCTTTAAATCAGTGGTCTCTAGGAACTATTACCAGCAGAGGAGCTCAGTGGGAATTATCTAATCTCATGCATCTCTTTGGCACCTAGGTTTGATGTGGTGGGCTACGGCTGCATGACCTGCATTGGCAACAGTGGGCCCTTGCCTGAACCTGTGGTAGAAGCCATCACACAGGTAATTACAGAGGGGTCTGCAGGTCTTCAGAGCTGTAGTCTCTTTTCATATTTCTTCAAAATGCTGGTGATCTCAATAAAATTCAAGGAAGCACCGGGATGTGGTTAGATGTGTAGTCTCTGCAGTCAAGCTAAACTTACCAGTTAGACAAGCTTGGGCAAGTTAATTAACCCCTTTTTACCTGAGTTTTCACAACCATAAACTGGAGATGATAATAGTAACTGTTACATAGACTGTGAGCATCAAGATGGGAATGGACATAAAAGATGTAGTGTGGCACCCAGATACACGTGCTCAATAAAGGCAGGTTTTGAATACAGGAGCCTCTGGAATTGTTTGTTAATGGCAATCTGAAAACTGGTTCCAAGTCAGAGAAGTCTTCGTACACATGAATCTGAACTCATTTGCATTGGCTTGACTTTTGCCCCATAAATTCTGTAGTGTTGAGAAATCCTATTTGGTTTGCTTTGTGTGGTTTACAGAATCAATGTAAGTCAGCGTGGCTTGCTTTAGCTTTCAACTTTTAGTCTTTCCCACCTGTTCTTAGGCTCCAAGCAACAAAATAACTAGGATATTGCCTTCTGACCCGCCTGGTACTTTGTCATGAGCAGAAACCAGTGAACACGTCTTTGTATCCTTGACCAAGAGTGTCTCCCACAGGGAGACCCCTGTGTCCTCTCCTATAATAAAGAGGACTCATGAAAGGAAAGCTTAAGGAACCACATCAGGTGATGGGAAAACTTTGGCAAATGGTCTAACATGAGCAGCCTAGGCAGTCTCTTTTCTTTGTGACCTAGTGTTTCTCTTGCCTCACACAGGGAGATCTCGTAGCTGTTGGAGTATTGTCTGGGAACAGGAATTTTGAAGGCCGAGTCCACCCCAATACCCGTGCCAACTATTTAGCCTCTCCACCCTTAGTGATAGCATATGCAATTGCTGGGACCGTCAGGATCGACTTTGAGAAAGAACCATTGGGTAAGATTTTGTTTAGGTGGTTACAATTTTTTTCCAATGAATATGAAAATATTACTGGAAGAAAGTTAATGCTTTCCTTAATGAATAATGAAGACTAGAACTTCCAGAGATAAGATGAGGGGAGTCTTTTCCTTACTCCCCAATGCACAGCTCAAATATCACTGAAATAAATAAGAATTTACTAAAAGGCAAGAAATGACAAAAGGGAAATAAGTACAAAAGGTAATGAACTTAAGGGGAAAAAGGGGGAGGGATTTTGAGGAACAAGTATGAAAGACACAGAGATGAGGACTGGGGTGGGGGGGAATGGGAGGGAGGGGGGAGACCGGGCGGGGGGGGGGGAGAGAAAAAAAATGTACTTGAAAAGTAACTAAATAAAATTTAATATTAAAAAAAAAATAAAATAAAATAAAATAAAAAAGGTAATGGAGATCTTGCTCTTCTGGCTTCTTCTCCAGTTCCTCTCTCTATCTCCTGCTTTAATATAATCATAAGCATATTTTTAATATATGCTTTGTAGGAACACATTCCAGAGAGTTTAACTTCTCAAAATTAAGAGAAAATGATATTTTATGTTCTTTCCTCTGATCTCCATGCTTCCTATCCCCTCCTCAATTCATTCTAAGTAAATTAGGTATTATGAAAACAATGCCCTTTCAATTCACCTTTAGGAAATGATTACTTCAGAGGTATAGATGATCCTCATACATGTGGATTCCATATTTGCAAATTTGCTTATTCACGAAAGTGTATTTAACCCTCAAGTCAATGCTCATCATGCTTCTGTAGCCATTCACAGACATGCCAGAGTGGGGAAAACTGAGTCATTCAACATGTACCTCCTCAGTGAAGTCAGACAAGGTGGTCCTCTGCCTTCTTATTTTAGCTGTCATCCTATAAAGAGGTATCTTGGTCAGGATCTATTTAGTGCCATGTTTTTGCACTTTTGTGCTTTTTGATGGTGATTTCACTGTTTAAAATGGCCTCCAGTGCTAAAGTGCTATCTAGTGTTCCTAAGCCCAGTAAACCCATGATGTGTCATGTGCTAAATAGACTACATTTGGGCATAAGTAATAGTGCTGTTGACAGTGAGTTCAGTGGTAATAGATCAACAATATATATTAAATAAGATGTCTAGAAGCAGACGCACACACAAAACAAGGTTATATATTGATCAGTTGGCAAAAATGTGACCACAGGCTCTCAGACACCTAACCCTATATTTCCTCTGGGTCAGTGATTCAGTATTCACTACAGCACTGTTTACACGAACTCTGTAGAACAAAACTACCACAAAGAACCAGACCTGACTGTGTGTAATAATGGAAAGGGGGCATTGAATTGTGTGTTTCTTATGCATAAACATTTTATTCCCCAGGGGTAAATGCAAAGGGACAACAGGTGTTTCTGAAAGATATCTGGCCAAGTAGAGAGGAGATCCAGGCGGTGGAATGGAAGTACGTCATCCCTGGGATGTTTAAGGAGGTCTATCAGAAAATAGAGGTGAGGTGCCACCTGCCCCCAAGAATCTAAGGGAAAGCGGTTCCTTTGTGTCATCTCTGCAGACCTTGAGGCTAATGGGGGTATGAAGTACAGAAAGGAAGGTGGTTTGTTACTCCCTCTTCAGAGAACCAGGGAAGTGGTTCTCAGTCACTCTTCTCCTGTGACTCACATCTCTACGAACTCCCCACTCCCCACATGCTTCCAGAGTCAGGCAAGTGGATAACAGCCTCAAGGAGAAAGGCCTCAGGTTGTGTGTGATTCCTGGACAGCTCTCCTTGACTCTCCTTTTCTCAGACACCCTGGGATGTTGTGTCAACTGTGGTTGAGGCCCACCCCCACCCCCATGTCACTACCATGTGTCACTGAGGTAGAGTCATTTGGTGAAGTGAACCTCTAATAATTATTTGGAAGCTTAAAATTAAAGAAATAATTAAAAAATAAACAGATAAAAACTGCTCAATAGAAAGCACCAAACTACTTAAATAAATAAAACCTTTGTGCACTTTACAAATAGGGATAAAAGGTAGGGGACTCAGTATTATTTTCTGAGACCCTTGGATGTTCTTCCTTTCCCTATTTTCTGGGTTAGGCTGACCCAAGGGCTGCTGACAAAGGCTTGGGTTTGAAATAAGAGAGCAGACTGTGGAGAGGGCTGAAACAGGGATCATGTTCTTGCACTGTGCCCTCCCCCAAGCGGCTCACTGAAAAATAGTCTGAGGGAGCTTTCCGGGCATTGGACTAAATGCATTTATTCAAAGGCTGAGTTAACGGACCCATGGAGAGAATTCAACCTGTTTTTATTCAAAGCAGCTGTCACTTGCTCTCCAATGACCATAGGACTCAGAAGTCTACTTCTCCAAACCTTCCGAGAGGAAATAATTCCCCCTTTGGTACAAATCTGGAGTGTTATTTCTTAAGTTATACATGTAAGCATATGGATTAGTTATCTAGTACTGTAAAACAAATTACCCCAAAACTTAGTGGGTTAAAAGAGCAAGCATTTATTATCTCTCAGTTTCTGTGGATCAAAGTGTGGCTTAACTGGGTGTGTGTGCCATCACAAGGCTTCAGGCAAGGTGTCATCTGGGCTGCAGCTCATCTGAAGGCTCAGCTGGGGAAAAGGCACTTCTAAGGGCACTCACCTACATGGCTGTTAGCAGGATAAAGTGCCCCGCAGGCTGTTGGACCAAGGACCTCAGCTCCTGCATGACCACCAGCCAGAGGCCTCTCTCCATGTGTTGCTAGGGAACCTCTTTACAGTTTTCAGCAGAGTAGCTGGCTTCCATCAGGGGAAGCAAGAGAGGGTGAGAGCCACAAAAGGCAGAGTCTCTTTATTACCAAATCTTAGAAATGAGTCACACTAGGCTCAGCCCACACTCAGCAGAAGGGGCTGGGGCTCCCTTTAGAGAGTAGATCCCAGGAGTGGGGTCCTTGGCTGCCTGTCACAGTGTTTATATATTTTTAAGTTAGTTAGCATGGTATTATCTTAGGATAAAGGAACTCTTTTGTACAACTAGAATGTTTTTATTGTATGCTTAGCTTGAATATATGTTTTATGTTTGCATATTGTTTTCCTTGGAATCGAATGTCATTAGACTTTCTTTCTCTCTATTTTTTGAAGACTGTGAATGAAAGCTGGAATGCCTTAGCAGCCCCATCAGATAAGCTGTATTACTGGAATCCCAAATCTACATACATTAAGTCACCACCATTTTTTGAAAACCTGGTATGACGTTTTATTTTTAACAAAACGAATTCTTCCAAAGGTTTCTTTCCCTATAACATCTACTTTTTTTTTAATCCCATACCCTCAGTTTAACTTGTTTTATTAAAACTTCTACAAACCCAAGTGAATACTACTGGGGCAAGTTTTGGGAAGTTGGGACAGTTGGCTGTGGTGAGCCTACAGTTTCTCTGTCCCAGGGTCGTGTGTGGCTGTGTAGAGACACCCTGGTGATCAAGGGCCACCTGGACATAGACTTGGTGAAGTCTGAGACTGTTGTAGGAGAATGCCCCCAGAGTCAGCCGCCTCAGCCTTATGCCCATCCAGACAAGGGAGGCGTTCCTTGAAACTGCTGACCAGGGAGTCTGTGCCCCCCAGTATATCCCTGTGGGAAGGGGATGGGAGGGGAATTCAGAATCCCACTGTCCCCAGCCTCTAGGGAGTTCTGTGGATATGAAGAAAGAGAATGTCATTTGCAGTTGCATCCCTGCTGCTTTTTGAGGGAACAGTGCCAATACTTTTCCTTCCCTTCAAGGGTAAGATGTAAGTGTTTTGAGTAAATTCATTTTACTTTTTAAAGCACTCCTGATAAAACTGAAAACGAACCCTAAAATTTTTTATGCATTGATGTGGGGCGGTCATCTGGTTCAGGTCCATGGACCACTACTGTCACGACTCCCCTCGTGACTTGTTGGAGACGCCTGGGCAAACACTAACTTCTTGTGTTCTGTGCTAGACTTTAGAGCTTCAGCCCCCTAAATCTATTGTGGATGCCTATGTGCTGTTAAATTTGGGAGATTCAGTAACAACTGACCACATCTCTCCAGCTGGAAATATTGCAAGAAACAGCCCTGCAGCTCGCTACTTAACTAGCAGAGGGTAAGTGTGACTGAAGTGAGGACTAAAGGAAAACATGGAGTGACTAGACCAGCATTTCCCTTTCGCCTAGTCTCTTCGGAATCAGACTGTGCTTTTTCACTGAACCCTGTGGCTTGAAAACCAGCCTTTCTGTTTGCTGCTTCGAGGCTTCCATGAAAGAATCCGTTAGCACGTGAACCTCCATCAGGGTCGTTCAGTCTGATGGGACAGTCTTTGGGACAGTCTTTGCCGTCCCTTAGAGAGTGAATGTACTGTCCCTGAGAAAGGGACAGTCTTTGAGCAAGTGTTGTACTCATGAGGCTCAACTGCCATCTCTGCCCCCAGCTTGCCTAATAGTTAAAGTACAGGTTTTTGTCCTGAACCTGCGGCGGAGATGGGTGCACCTGAACCTCAGAGCGCAGGCACGTAACCCGAAGTGTGTTGCCATTCCTGGTGCAAAGCAGATGCCTTCTCCACAGAGAACCGCTTTGAGTTGGCAGTTGCACATTTACCCCTCAGTCCTTCAGTCAAGTTTGGGCTTTAATAGGTGTATATACCAATGTTACCTACTGGTCTAGTATACCCATACGGATTGAAGTCAGTCCCAAATGCAACTTTCCATGAGAATTACCTGTGACATAAAAATTCCTGGCTCCCAACCCCACTTCCCAAATCAGCTTCCTCAGAGATGGGACCCAGAGCCAATTTGAGGAACAAAATCCTACACGGGGTTTTTCAGGGGGCGGGGGTGGATTGATAATTATTGACCTTTTTTGAGACATGGATTCTTTAGGAAATTGAATGAAAGTAAATATAGTACCTTTCCAGAAAAATGTACATATTCACATTTTGGAAATAATTTCATTTGCTCTGGAAATCCCCTTAAAAATTCTCTCAGTCCTCAAATTAGCTATAACCTTTAAATCACATTAACACTCACACACATTTCCTAGCATTTTAAGAAACAGCCCAGTGAACTGGTGACTTTGTTCACTGTAAAATGTTATTCCTCACATTCCGAAGTTCCCTTTCATTGGGGCCGCTTACAAGATTTTTCTCTGGTTTCGGGACCAGGAGAAATGGTGGTTCTGCCTCTTTAGCATTGTTCTTATTTGTAGCTTCTGACATTGTGAATCAGGTTGCCAGTTGTGTGTCTTCCTGTTCGATTGGCTTCCCTTACCTCCTAACTCAGGTACAGATTTGAACCTCCAGGTTAGTTTAGGAGACGCATTTTCTTCCCCCCACTGTTGGCTCCACCAAATCGGCTTCCCCTAATTATTGTCTTTACTTTCTTTTTCTTGCCCATTTTAAATTTTTTTTGTGAAATTTTATAGGCTACCTTACTGAATAAATAAATAAAATGAATAGCCTTATTAGAGCTCCTCCTGCTTTATCTCCCCAGATTTACGAGATGGCAGGTAGACCCTGGGAGAAGGTTGAATTCCCCCAACTCTTCCCTCACACTCTGCCCTCCATCGAAACTATGGCAACAGTTTTTCTGCCTTAAAGAACAATGCTTGGTAGATTAGAATAATAGTGAGGTTTATGTTTTTTCTTTCTTGATATAAGCTAAGTTTACTCTTAGCTTGTACACTAAACTTGCTTGTCTCCTGCTTGTCTTATTAGCCTGACTCCACGGGAATTCAACTCCTACGGTTCCCGCCGAGGTAATGATGCCATCATGGTACGTGGGACGTTTGCCAACATTCGCTTATTAAACAAATTTTTGAACAAGCAGGCACCACAGACTATACATCTGCCTTCGGGAGAAATTGTAAGTATGACGTCTTCTGCTTCCTTGAGAAGCCAGCGTTTGTCAGGCTCTGGGTCCATGTGCTCACCTTCCTTTTGGCCTTACTTTTTCTGTGCAGCCCCATCCGTCCTCTTGCTGCCTGTGGTCCCTCTTGCCAAGAGTCCATGTACATAGAGCTCATCACTGATGGGGATGCCCTTTAAACTGTGAATCCTCCTCTTCCTGCTTACAGATTCTGCTTCGTGGTTTAACTAAATATAGTTCCCTGGGAGTTGAGCTTCAAAAGCCTCTGATTGAAATGCTCTGTGTTCATAGTATTTAAGAGGGAAATTCCAGGTTAAGGTAGAGAATATTTATCAAAAAGCGCCATTTTATTTCTTTATTAGCATTTAATTTAATTCACCATACCACTAGGAAAAGAAGGAATATAGAGGCTGGTAGATGCCTGCTTGGGTCCTAAAGGGAACCACTTGGATGGCATATTACTGCTGGAATTGTTTTGGTGGGAGGCATGTGAGAAGTCAGGAAAGCCTGCACTTTGAGTAAGATAAGCCTAGGCTCAAGTCCCAGCTCCACCTCAGACCAGCTCTGGAGCCCACATCAGTTTATTTCCCTCTGTGATTCTCATTTTCTTACCTGGGAAGTAGAAATAATATCTACCTTGTTAAGTTCTGAGGCTAAACTTAAATGGAATGACATGTGGAATAACCAGGCCCACTAGCCTGTCTCTGCACGCTGTGCCTCAACTGCATCTGTAGTACCTGCCTTTTCTCTTCCTCAGCTTGATGTGTTCGATGCTGCTGAGAGGTACAAGCAGGCAGGCCTTCCCCTGATCATTCTGGCCGGCAAAGAGTATGGCTCGGGCAGCTCCCGGGACTGGGCAGCCAAGGGCCCTTTCCTCCTGGTGAGTATGACATAGGGACGTCCCAGCAGGCAGCTGCCCTTTTGGACCAGAAGGGAAGCTGGGAAGGGGTCTAGGAATCAATTCTGGTGCTGTACGTTCCTCTCCTGCTTCGTGGCGGATCTTGCTTCACTTCTCTTAGTGAAGGGTAGTCTAGAGTTGAACTTGTTCCCTCAGGTGAGATATATTGTGGGAACCAGGGATCCTTGCGGGTGTCAGTAGAACAGCTGCAGGGGAGGGTCTGTGCAGTCTCTGAAATTATATCCAAAATCTTGTGTGTCATTTCATTTTTTTTAATCCTCAACCAAGCATATGTTTTTTATTGATTTTTTAGACAGAGGAAGGGAGATAGAGAGAAAGATTGATGTGAGAGAGAAATTGGTTCTCCTGTTTGTGCCCCACCTGGGGACCCCCCAACCTAGGTATGTGCCCTGACCGGGGATCAAACCATCAACCTTTCATTGTATGGGAGGACACTGCACCCAACTTAGCCACCCGGCCAGGGCTGCTTGTCTTTTTTTATGCAGAAAAAAATTCATGGTTTTCATAATGTTCCCAGAGGTTGAGGACCCAAAATTTATTTAAGGCCATTGTCCCAGGTGAACTTCAGCATTAAGCCAGGGCTGCTGCGACTGAATTGTCTTCCAGGTTCATGGAAGGGAAAAGGTAAAGAGCCTGAGCTTTGTTTGGATCAACTCAGGGAAAATACTTTCTGTTACTGCTTTTCACTCATTGCCTGTGAAAACCTGCTTATAGACTCATTAGAGAAGGATGCTCTCCCTATAGGCAGTTAGGACGCTCTTTAGACCCTTCAGCCGTTTCAGGGCTTGACCTGCTGGGGGTCCCCTCCTGGAAGGGGCACACGGGCAACAGAGAGCTCGCAGCGCTTGAGCACTTGCTTGCCCTGAAGACAGAGAAGAGTTCTGCTGCCGGGCTTTAATCCTCAGGGTACAGTAAAATGGCTTAGCTGATGCCAGTTTAAATAACGTGTAGCTGGAGCCATTTAGTGCATTTGGGAAACACTAAATAAATGCCCTCTAGGCACAAGTACAGCAGAAAACGTTACTGTGTGGCAGGCAGCTCCCCAGGTGTCCAGGCTTCTGAAAGTCTTTGAATATCACACCCCTATTATTTTGTTTTTTTAATCAGTCGTTTTTCTCTGTAGGGAAAAAAAGAAAAGATATTCTCTGATCACTTGGTAATATATCAGGGGCCTGCTTGTTTTAAAAACTGCTGAAACGAACCAGAGAAAAGAAGGAAGGGAGTTTAGGAAGGGTGCTGGGCACGGACAGCCACAATGGGAGCAGCGAGCAGCTGGGTGGGGAACTGTAAGACCTGTGGGGGACGGGGGCTGGCACCCCGGAGGCGCTCCAGAGTCCAGACTTGTCCACAGAGCTGCTGAGTCCTGGCTGTCCAGACAGCATGTACTTCGTTCTCTAGCTGCCCAGTCAGGGCCACTGAGCCTTCTTCAGCTGAACTTGCTCAGAGAAGGTTGGACAGTTGTGGTCTGTGGCATCCGCAGCCCTGCACAGCCATTTATACACCTGTAAGGTTTATAAAACACCTGTGCCTGGATCTCATCCCCAGGGATTGTGGTTTAGCAGGTAAGGAAAAAGGCCCAGATGTCAGGATTTTAAAAACTTCCCCAGAAGCTCTTACATATGCAGCAAAAGTTGAGAAGCACTGCTGAATTAACTGTCTTCCTCCCGCCCCACGCTCTCTGCATAAGATTCTGATGCAGTAGATCTGGGTAGTGCTCAAGAATCTACATTTTTAATAAGCTCCCTGAGTGACCCTGATGCAGGGGGTCTTAAAAGTACCCTAGATATCAAGAGACCTTTTAGGGATACCTAAGTATCTTATTACAGTTAACTAATATTTGAGAATGAGGTGTCTTAGATAATCCAATATCCTGGTTTATTGATCATTGCTGTGTATCGTTAGTTATAGGTAACTAATAAAATGTGCATTATAGGAAGCTTAATATCAATGTTATATTCAATACAATTTGATGTCTGGAATAGGAAGTAGAAAAGCAGTGCATAGTAGAAATCACTTACTTTCTTTATAGTGTGTTCTGTAAGTTGCTTTTTGATTAAATCTCCCATGTCCACCAATGCATCTACAATAATGGAAGAATCGAAAGGAAAAAAATGAATTTTCTTTTTTTTAGATTTTATTTATTTATTTTTATACAGAGAGGAAGGGAAGGAGAGAGGGGGAGAAACATCAGTGTGCAGTTGCCTCTCACATGCCCCCAGCTGAGGACTTGGCCCGCCACCCAGACTTGTGCCCTGACTGGGAATTGAACAGGCAATATTTTGGTTCGCAGGCCAGCGTTCAATCCACTGAGCCTTGTCGTTCAGCAGAAATGAATTTTCTTTATGTTGTTTTGTGATATGGCTTTCAGTTACAATGGAATTTGCTAAGAGGCATCACATACTGGTGTGTGTGGCCAGGCTGCATGGGTTCAAAATACCAGATATACCCCCGACTGCTTGGGTAAGGCTGACAGTAGTAGCATCTACCTCCCAGGGTGGGTGGAAGGAGAATGAGAAAAATCATTTAAGTGCTTACACAGTGCCTGTACTTTGTAGGCCATCATTTAACACTGACTACTGTGTTAATTATGGGTAGGGAGTAACATTTTATATAAACGATTAATTGGTACTTATAAAGAATTTAGGTGTGAGAAGAGTTTTTGACTTAAGAAGACTTTTGTGAAGTTTCTGTATAACTAAGGAAAAATTGGAACTGTGTCCAAACTCTCTCTTGGCTCATCAGGGAATCAAAGCTGTCTTGGCTGAGAGTTACGAGCGCATTCACCGCAGTAACTTGGTCGGCATGGGCGTGATCCCCCTTGAATACCTCCCTGGGGAGACTGCAGACACCCTGGGACTCACAGGGCAGGAACGGTACACCATCAGCATCCCAGGAAACCTCAAACCACGAATGGAAGTCCAGGTCAAGGTAAGCCAGGCTCCTCTGTGCCAGGGCCAACTAAAAGGAACGCTGAGTTTGTAATTAATCCTGTTAGAAGGAAAGCAGTGGGATTTGGAAGAAGAAAAACAAAGAAAACAGTAGGACTGCATTAGACTTAAGAGTTCTATGTTTTTACCTGCCTTCACAACATATTATATATTTCTATTTATTCATAGTTATCATTATTTCCATTCTTACCTCCAAGCTTTCTCCCATTCTTGCCAATCTCCGTTAACCCAGACAATACTGGTGAAAGCTCAGGGATGGGACCTTACCTAAAAAACACCTTTTTCTTATAATAATGTGAACAACGGACACACTCTCCCTAGATGAGGTAAGGATGAAGCACCCAGCACAGGTCCTGGGGGGATTTAGAATCCCAGGCAGCAGCAGCTGCTACAGTCTGTGTCCCAGGGTGAGCAGCTGGGCCAGCTGCCTACAGGACAACCTTGATGAAACCTCCGCTGACCTGACACACTTCTATTCGAAGTGGTCTCCATCCCAAAGGTCACCAGTGACTGCTGCCCAGGGAGGCCATTTCTAACTCTCAGATATCTTTCACTCTCATCATTTATATTCTGCAGTACTTTCCTATGCAGATGAATCTGTGGGGAAACTTGTTAAAATGTAGCTTCCGATTCAGGGGATCTGGTCTGGGAGCAGAGACTGTTCCCAGGAGCTGCTGGAGGTATAGTGTGTGGATTGCATGGAGTGCCCTACCTGAGAGCAGGCTGGGCACCAGCTCCTCCTGACTGAGTTGTCTCACTTCCTCCCTCAGCGATTCTTCTTTGCTTCTTTGTCCTTGCAGCTGGATACTGGGAAGACCTTCCAGGCCGTCATGAGGTTTGACACCGATGTGGAGGTCACTTATTTCCGCAACGGGGGCATCCTGAACTACATGATCCGCAAGATGGCCAAGTAGGCCTTCAGTTCTTAGAAGACCTGTGCTGACAACTGCATACAGGGAGGGTGTGCAGCGCCGCCAGCCTGCCGAGCCCCTGGTGCAGAAGCATCCCCCAGCCTCCACACAGGTGCTGCCTTGCAGACGGAGCACATGAGCACTGGCGTTCTAGTGCCATTCCTCCAGGCACAAAATCAGCAGTTTCTACATTCTTTATTTTTATTAATCTTTTTGTCTTTTTTCTAGAATTTGAAAACTAGCATAGTAGGAATATCAGTAGTGCCAGAAAGAAGTGAGCTTGTCTTTAAATTTACTGATCACAGAATGTTGATTTTTTTACTCTTAGCCTGTTAATGTTCATCTGAACATATATAAGTCTTCCCAGAAGGTATTTCATGTCCCCTTTGGTGTCCATCTGTTCTCCACAACTCAGTGAAACCTTTCCCCTGGGGGCCTTTTGCTGTTACACTAGTGTTAACTGACAAGGGTAGATAGGAACTTCTGCATACGTCAGATCACACCGGTGACTGCAATTCTCCCTGCCCCCGTCCTTTGGAGTGAATGATCCAGACACCTGTGGACAAGTCAGATGTTGAAACTTTTCATTATTTACCTTTTGATGGGTCAACATTAAAGAAGTGTGAAGTTGTCTTTTACTATCTTCAAAATTTTCCCCCAGAAATGTTTTTCACTTGTCAATAAGATAACTTTGTTTAGAGATGGTTTTGGAAAGAGACACAGAATATTTCTAATTTGAATAAACTTAATTCTATTTTCAAGGAAAACTTCTTGACTTTTTTTCTGGGGTGGGCAAATTGAATTCTGCTGTGTGTGTGTGTGTGTGTGTGTGTGTGTGTGTGTGTGTGTGTGTGTGTGTTTGGCTATAGTTTTGGGCTGTTTAGAGCAGAGTGAAGCTCAAACTTTAGCTTCCTGAAGGCTGGATGACCTTCAAGTTCTGTTTTTATACTCACATCAGTGTTCCGCAAATAACATGGAAATGCTGGGGAGTCAACATGTTGTTTGGCCTATTTGAAAGCAAAGAGGTAACAGGCACTAACGTAACTATAGTAAGCAGATCATAACTTTTTCGTTTTTGTGTCCTATAGTTTATCTGCTCATTTTCATCACTGAAGTTGTTTCATGGCACACATCTCTTAGTCTGCTCTGGCTGCCATAGCAAGACACCATAGATGAGGTCTATGGTGTCTCAGACATCAAAAGTTTGTTTACTCACAGTTCTGGAAGCTATAAGACCAAGGTCAAGACTCCAGCCAATTCATTTTCTGGCAAGTACTCTTTCCTGACTTGCAGTAGCTAACTTCTTTCTGTATTCTCATATGGCCTTTCCTCAGTGCATGTACAGACACATAGAGAAAGAACTGGTTCTCAGGTGTCTCATCTTTTTTTAAAGAATATTTTATTGGTTATGCTATTATAGTTGTCCCAATTTTTTTCTCCTCTTTTATTACTCCTCTGCATCCTCTCACCCTCCAACATTCCCTGCCACCTTAGTTCATGTCCATTGGTTGTAGAAGCCAAGTTCTTTGGCTTCTACATTTCCTATACTATTCTTAATCTCACCTTGTCTATTTTGGGCCTACCAATTATGCTTCTTACTCCCTGTATCTCAGGGGTGTCAAACTGATTTTCACCGAGGGCCACGTCAGCCTCACAATTGCCTTCAAAGGGACAAATGTAATTTTAGGAGTATAGAAATGAAACTACTCCTTAACAGTTAAGCAAGAGCTCTACACTGCAGGTAGAAACAAGGTGCTGGGTGGGATAAAAAGAGGTGGATGACTAGATTCAGCCCGTGGACCTTGTGTTTGCCACCTGTGCTGTACCTTTTCTCCCATTCTACCCCTCCCTGTCTGTACTAACCTTCCATGTGATTTCCATTACTGTAATTCTGTTCCTGTTCTCGTTGTTTGCTTAGTTTTTGTGTCTTTTTTAGGTTCAGTTGTTTATAGTTTTGAGCTTGTTGTCATTTTACTGTTCATATTTTTTTATCTTCTTTTTCTTAGATAAGTCCCTTTAACATTTCAGTAACAAGGGCTTGGTGATAATGTACTATTTTAACTTTACCTTATACAGGAAGCACTTTATCTGTCCTCCCTTTACTGTTTTTAATATATTTTATTTATTATGCTAATACGGTTGTCCCATTCCCCCCTCCTTTATTCCCCCTGCCCTGCATCTTGCATTCCCGCCCCCCTTACTTCATGTCCATGGGTCATACATACATATAAGTTCTTTGGCTTTTCCATTTCCAATACTATTCTTAACCACCCCCTGTCTATTTTCTACCTACCATTTGTACTTCTTATTCCCTGTACCTTTTCCTCCATTCTCCCTCCTTTGCCTCCCCTTCCCCACTGATAATCCTCCATGTGATGTTCGATACTGTGAGTCTGTTCCTGTTCTAGTTGTTTGCTTTGTTTTTGGTTTTGCTTTTCTTAAGTTCAGTTATTGATAGTTGTGTTTGTTGCCATTTTACTGTTCATAGTTTTGATCTTCTTTTTCTTAGGTAAGCCCCTTTAACACTTCATATAATAAGGACTTGGTGATGATGAACTCCTTTAACTTGGCCTTATCTGGGAAACACGTTATCTGTCCTTCCATTCTAAATGATAGCTTTGCTGGATAGAGTAATCTTGGATGTAGGTCCTTGCCTTTCATGACTTCAAATACTTCTTTCCAGCCCCTTCTTGCCTGCAAGGTTTCTTCTGAGAAGTCAGCTGATAGCTCATGGGTATTGCTTTGTAGGTAACTGTCCCCTTTTCTCTTGTTGCTTTTAAGATTCTCTCCTTATCTTTAATCTTGGCTAATGTAATTATGATGTGCCATGGTGTGTTCCTCCTTGGGTCCAACTTCGTTGGGATTCTCTGAGCTCCCTGGACTTTCTGGAAGTCTATTTCCTTTGCCGGATTAATGAAGGTCTCCTTCATTATTTGTTCAGATAGTTTTCAATTTCTTGCTCTTCCTCTTCTCCTTCTGGAATCCCTATGATTTGGATATTAGAACATTTAAAGATGTCCTGGAGGTTCCTAATCCTCTCCTCATTTTTTTGAATTCTCGTTTCTTCATTCTGTTCTGGTTGAATGTTTTTTTTTTCTTCCTTCTGCTCCAAACTGGTAATTTGAGTCCCAATTTCCTTCCTGTCACTGTTGGTTTTCTGTATATTTTGCTTTATTTCACTTTGGATAGCCTTCATTTCTTCCTTCGTTTTGTGACCAAGCTCAATCAGTTCTATGCACATCCTGTTTACCAGTGTTCTGAACTATGTATCTGATAGGTTGGCTATCTCTTCTCTGCTTAGTTATATTTTCTACAACTAAGATCTGAGAGCTTAGATATGTTTTTTTATTTGGGCCATTTTTGTTTGTCTCAGTGTGCCAGTTATGTAGTAAGGGGCAGAGCCTTAAATGTTCACCAGGGCTGGGCAACCCATGTCACTGCAGTTTGGCACTGTATATGGGGCAGGGGTCCAAGAGGAAACAATGCCACTTTCTCTGCTCTCTGCTGGTTTTCAGTCACTTACCCCACTACCCACAATCAAATTGGGCCCTTCTGTTGCTGATTTCCCGGTGGGTGAGTCTGTGTATGCTCTGGGACCCTGCAGGTCTCACCAACCAACTCTCCTGTGAGGCTGGCTGTTTCTCCCATTGCTGCCTAAAACCCTACAAGTGTTTTCAGTCCAAAACCCTGAAGCTCTGTTTCTCCAAATGAAACCCTGTATTGTGTGGTCGATCTTGTTCCCCAGTTGTTCCTTCTGGTTTATCTGCACTCAAATGTGGAACCACCCAGTCCACAAGCCACCACCTCACTGAGTTCACCAGCTGCCACTCGGCCTCCCCTCGTCCTTTAGCCACTGCCTTGCCGCAAGTCCTCTCCTCTCAGCTGCCCATCTCTGCCCCTCCACCAGTGTGGGTGAATGTTTTCTTAACTTCTTGGTTGTTGGACTTACATACAGTTCAATTTCCTGTCAGTTCTGGTCATTTTTTTGTTTTTAAATTTGTTGTTGTTCTTTTGGTTGTGCGAGGAGGCACGGTGTGTCTACCTACACCTCAATCTTAGCCAGGAGTCTCCTAAATTGTGGATTGGAGTCCCGGTTTCCTTCCCTTTACTGTTGCTTCCCTGTGTATTTTTCTTTATTTCATTTCCTATAGTTTTCATTTCTTCCTTCATTTTACAACCAAACTCAGTCATTTCTTTGAGCATCATGATAACTAGTGTTTTGAACTCTGCATCTGATGATAGGTTGTCTATCTTCTCATCGCTTTGTTCTATTTTTAGAGTTTTGATCTGTTCTTTCATTTGGGCCATATTTCTTTGTCTTGGTGCACCTGTTATGTTATAAGGAGCAGAGCCTTAGGTATTCACCAGGGCAGGGCAACACTTTTTGCTGTGCCCTGGTGCTGTATGTGGAGAAGGGGTCAGAGGAACAATGCCGCTTGCTTGCTTGCTTACTTGCTTCTCACCCACTTTCCATCACTTCCCTCATGTCTCACAAATGTATTGTGCCCTTTTAGGTGCTGATTCCCAGGTGGGTGGGCTTTTGTATATTCTAGGATGCTGTGGGCTTCTCTAATGGACCTCCCTGTGAGACTGGGAGTTTTTGCCACTGCTTCAACCCCCACAGGTTTTTACAGTCAGAAGTTTTGAGGTTTTAGTTTTCTGTGCTGAAACCCTGTGTAGTCTGTCACACTCCTCAGTATTCCTCCTGGCTTATCTGCACAGGAATGTGGGAAATCCTGTCTGCCAGTCACCACCTCACCCATCTGGTCAACCGCTTTGTGACACATCCTCTCTACCCCAACTTACTGTTTCCACCCCTCCTACTAGCCTGGATGAATATTTTTTCTTCAATTTCTTGGTTGTCAGACTTCTGTGCAGTTCGATTTTCTGGCACTTCAGGTTGTTTTTAATTTATTATTTACTTAAATTGGTTGTTATCCTCTTTTTGGTTGTACGAGGAAGCAAAACATCTTTATCTATGCCTCCATCTTGGCCAGAACCCCGGTGTCTCTTCTTATAAGGGCACTAATCTTATCAGATCAGGGCCCCACCCTTATGACCTCATTTAACCTTAATTACTTCTTAGAAGTCCATCTTCACAGAGGTACACTGTGGGTTGAGGGTTTCAACATATGAATTTTTAGGAGGAGGGGGACACAAATATTCAGACCATGATGGCAACTTAAAATCTAAAAGGGTCATTTTCACTGGGAAGGCATCCAAACTGGAGCTGAAATGACCTATTACAGATAAATAAGCAGATTCAGAAAGGTCTGGTAACTTAGAAGTATGCCCCTTAATATGCTTCCTGTTCAAACAGTTGCACTCACTAGAGACTTCCACTTTCTGAAGATGAAACAGAGCTCTAAAGTAATAACTCATCACCTGAACCAGCCCAGGCACTCCACCCTCCCTCCCTCAGCAGAAATAGAGTTACATCCAATTATTGTGTTTGGAGGTTTTTCCAACACTTTATATAAAAGTTTCAAGAAAAAAATATATCGAAGGCTAACCTGAATATGTCTTTTACAATGGTATATTTTGTTTAGTTTGTTTTCTATGCACAGTTTTAAAATATTTTTTGTTGGTAGTGATGGTGATATCTTTTTTCTTATGGCCATTCTTATAGCATATTTATAATTTTGTATACTGGTTATTGTTTTCTACTTTATTATTAGTAAGAAGGTTTTAAAAAATTATACTATGTTTAATAGTATAATAATTGAGCTTAATAGTATAATAATTGAGCTTAATAATAA